CCCCCCCTTGTTTGTACCGCATTGATATTACTCATTCGTTGTCTCTGTCGGGCTTCATTTATTTTTTTTTCCACCCCCTCACCGCTCCGTATCGCTCGTGTCACAAGTTAGTACGTGTAAAAAAACTTTTCAAAAAGAAATCATTGAGATTGTCACAAGCTGCCCCAAGTGTCCAGGAAGAATCTTATATAGACTGCGACGATGTTACTGTATCTGCTTATCTGCATCATGCTGGGGTTTTATTTTATTTTGGGGTTTTTTGTTGGTCCCTCCTTTCCTCATCTCATTGGCGAATACAGTCTAGTGTGACCTCCTTGTGCGCGTGGGGCCCTGGCAAATTCTTTCTTAAGTTTTGGCACCGGAGACGTCTATAAAGATGACCAGCGGGTGTGGGGGAGGGGGGAGGAGGAGGATAATGTGCTCAGCCAAGCTGGGCACGCGGTTTTTGCAATTTTTTATATTTTTTTTTAAAATGTAGGCTACCTTTCAGTCTTTCCTGCACCCGAGCTGGGTAGGTGGAGATGCTGAGAACCCTGAATTGGTCTCTGGTGAATTTTTCCGTTTTGTGTAAGAATCAACGACAAACAAACTTGCAAATGTATCTTCTTCTTCTCTGATTCATGTAAACATAGCATGCTGGCTGGCTCGTGTTTTGTTTGGGGTTTTTGCTTTGTTTTTGCTGTTTTGTTTTGCTGTTTCCTTCTTGCTGGTTTTGTTCTTTCTCTCATTTATAAAAAAGACAAACAACAAACTTTTCTCTCTCTCTCTCTCGCTTTCTCTCACTCACTCGCTCGCTCTGTTTAGACAATCCTTGCGACATTGTGCTGTAACCATCCTACCTTAGTATTATTTTCTACAGGTGTCGCTTTTCCGGATGAAATTATTCGGATATTGCGCCCGCTTTATATCTTTTTTTAAAAAAAAGTTTTTATACCTGATTACTGAGTGGATGTGATCATGAAACTTTTTGAAATGTTTTGGCGACATGTAAAACTGGGTCTGAAAAGTTTCTAATTTTTAAAGAATTTGCCCCCGTAGCCAGTTGGCACCTCTATAATGATGAGAGGTTGTCCTGTGAGTTCACAGACACGAAAAACTCGCTGGAATATGTGTGCAGAATTACAGCGGGCACTACTGCGGTGATGTCTCGTGAGTTTTTGATCACCGCTGCTGCGACATTCACCTCTTTTGTTTCTGGCAATCTGCGCATGCGTGCGCACACACACAAAAACGTGCACGCGTGCGCACACTCACACACATACACACGCACACATATCTATCTATATTCTATCTATCTATATATAGACACAGGTGGCGCTGTGTGCTCAAACTTGGTAGTCGTTTTTGCTTCTAGATCCCTTTTCACGGCGCCGTTTTTCTCCTTCACTCGTTCTTGTTTAGACCCTTCCTACTGGACCCATAGGTTTAGCTCGAGACTTCCTCAATTTGACGACTAGAACTTCAGTGGAATAGACAGACATGCATTGTTATCTTTTATTATTATTACTATTTTCTTCTTGGATTCATCATCATCATCATCACATTTCTGGCATGCCGTAAGTGAGATTTGAAGGGGAAAAAAAAAGAAGAAAAATCAACCAAAAAAAAAAGCCTAAATGTGTTGTGCACTTGAGTGGTAGTAGGAGAGGTAAACTTAAAGAGGAGGACCAAACTTAGAGATATAATCTATACTATATATCTTTACTACCATACCTAAATGTGAGTGGACTCTCGTGACGGGGAGAAGGGAAATATTTCCCTGAGTAGAAATAGCCGAGAGCCATGTCGTGTCCGTCTATCTAGCCTTCTGTGCTGGGTTTTTTTTTCGTTTTGTTTTTCATCGATTTTTGAGTGTGAACCTCTGTTCCTCATTTTGTGTCCTGCGTAAGCGGAAGCTGTTTCTCCCATCGTTGTGAAGCTAGTTTTTTGGATTTTCGTTTTATTTTGTTTTAGTTTTATTTTTATTTTGTTCCTTCAACCGTTTACTTTCCTCTCCCTTTTAAAAACATTTCTTGAATAAAACTAAAAACAAAAAACAACTTTGATGCTCACCATTCGAGTTCGCAGACATGTAAGTATTATGTCAGTCATTGTCCCATTGGATTTCTTTGGGGAATAAAGTTCACTGAGCAAATGATCACACGTGTGCTGGTTTTGAGTACCCATTTTTCAGATTCAATGTGTTGTGTTGTTATGAGTATGTATTGTATGTTTCAATGTGTTGTGTTGTTATGAGTATATACAGTGGAAACCATATATAACAGGCCCGGTAATAACAGGGATTTTTTGAATCCCCGTTTTTTCCTTCTCTTTCTCTATATTAAAAGTTTTC